TTTTTTTTTTTTTTACAATTTGTATATCCTTTTAATATATTACTTTTATAATTTAAATTAGTCATAAATATATTTAAATGTTTAAAAGTAGGGTTCAAGTGTATTTCTAGTTGTAACTAAATATATATTTCTAAAATACAGATATAGTATGTTAAAAGCACACTTTAGTTCAATTTCAGGGTGTCTCAAAATAGCACATTTGAGTACACTTAGATGGTATTGTTTATCTTAACATACACTTAATACTATCTTCTAGTACATTAAGTACAAAATTAGTTTGCGAAAATAGAGCACTTTTAGTACATTACTGAAAAGTGTACTAAGTATACTTAAATAAAGTGCATTTTAGTGCACTTTTTTTTTTTTTTTTACCTGGGTATCCCTTTAAAACTATTTTCGGATGAATATTTTTGGCACTCGTCTTTAGATCTCCTGCACCAGTCATCATTCAGAAGAGCTGCTCTTACTAAACTCCTATTAAACTGCATTGAAACGGTGCATTCAACCCATTTACATTTTTTGATGAAGTTTCCCGGTCCTGATGTCAAACCCAAATGTCAAACAGGCCTTGGAGCGCTGCAGGTTATTTGTACATCCGCTCGTCTCCTACAGAGAAGTGTGTGTTTGTTGACAGAAGCCGTGACCGTGGGCCTCACCATCACTTCTGTGTCAAAATCTATCACAGTGCCATAATGGGAAATTAAAATGACCGGCTTCAGTGCCTACAGACTCCCAGCAGGTTATTAAATGCAACTAAAGTCTAAAACGAGAAGTCTTCCATTACATTAAATAAGTGTATTTTTACTTCAGCTGGTTGCCAGGACGACCTTTCGTGTTTCCGTTTACTTTAACTTTATGTGCTGAACTATCTGAGCCTTAAATAAAAATGAATGAATATACAGACGAAATAAAATGAATACTAAACACACACACACACACACACACACACACACACACACACACACACACACACACACACACACACACACACACACACACACACACACACACACACACACACACACACACACACACACACACACACACACACACACACACCGGGACTCAAAGCAGCTATCCTCTTGCTGTGAGACTACAGTGCTAACCACTGAGGCACCGTAATTAAAAACAGATTATTATTATTTTTTACAGTGTAGGGAATTTCTTAAAACTGTTCTTCATTTGTGTCTTAATACAAAAAAAAAAAAAATAAATAAAAATAAAAATTAAAGTTAAAGTTAAATTAAGTTAAATCCCCGTCTGGCAGCGGGACACCTCTAGAATCTTCATCTGTCAGTGGAGGAGCTAAACATCCATTCAAGACACTTTCTAAAAGTGAATGTCCTACATGTGGAGGGTCTGAAGGGAACCACGGGGATCAGATGCCTCACAAGAGCTCTCATCTCTGTCCCAGCAGATGGAGGAACACACACACACACACACATACACACACACACACACACACACACACACACACACACTCCAAAAGCTGCTCTCCTGACGCTCCATCAGACACCATTCATCAGCACTATAAAAACATCCGTCAGGGAAATCCTTCAGCAAGACACAACTTCTGTTTATCACTTCATGCTTTTCAAATCCACCATGTTCACTTGCTGTACATAAAGTCCACTTCTGACGCTCCTGATCCTGTCCTACATTCATTAGAGCTCAATTACACTGATTTACACTTCAAAATATCACAGAAAAAAGGTGTTTTACAGCACTGTCTTACAAAACAATGTTGGTTTCACGAAGAACCTTTTAGCAAAGCATTAATAAAATAAGAGTTGCAAAAACAGCTTGGTTACGTACAGGACCCTTGTTTCCCGTCTCCGTTCATTCATCACCTAGTTGATCAACTCGACATAAACGTCTCCATTCACCTAGTCGATAAACCTAGTCGATCAACTTAATCTAGACGATCAACTCAACAAAACTGTCTCGTTCACCTAGTCGATAAACCTTGTCGATCTATTAAACCAAGCCGATCAACTTGACATAAATGTCTCCGTTCACCTAGTCGATAAACCTTGTCGATCTATTAAACCGAGCCGATCAACTCGACATAAACGTCTCCATTCACCTAGTCGATCAACCTTGTCGATCTATTAAACCGAGCCGATCAACTCGACATAAACGTCTCCGTTCACCTAGTCGATAAACCTTGTCGATCTATTAAACCGAGCAGATCAACTCGACATAAACGTCTCCATTCACCTAGTCGATCAACCTTGTCGATCTATTAAACCGAGCCGATCAACTCGACATAAACGTCTCCATTCACCTAGTCCACATGTGTCAAACTCAGTTCCAAAAGGGCCGCAGCTCTGCACAGTTTAGTTCCAACCCTAATTAAACAAACCTGATCAAACTAATTGAGTCCTTCAGGCTTGTTACCTACAGTTACTGTACCTTGTTGTACCTACAGGTAAGTGTGTTGGAGCAGGATTGGAACTAAACTGTGCAGGGCTTCGGCCCTCCAGGAATTGAGTTTGAAACCCCTGACCTAGTCGATCAACCTTGTTGATCAACTCATCTTAGAAGATCAACTAGACAAAAACGTCTCCGTTTACAGAGTCAATAATTCTTGTCGGTCAACACACCCTAGATGATTAACTAGACAAAAACGTCTCCATTCACCCAGTTGATAAACCTTGTCAATCAACTGAACGGAGACGATCAACTCAACAAAACGTCTCCATTCACCTATTCGATCAACCTTGTCGATCAACTCAACCTAGATGATCAACTCGACAAAAACGTCTCCGTTCACCTAGTTGATCAACTCAACCTAGACCATCAACTCAACAAAAACGCAATTTTGCAGGTCAGAGTTCACCAAGCTTGAATTTTCCACCGCAGCAAACTGCAAAACTTGTTGCACAACCAGGTTGTTTCCAGTCTGACGCATTTGCATGTGTATGAATGGAAGTCCATGGGCCAAAAAGTGCAGTGTGACTACAGCTATACACACACACTTTGCTGAGTCTTGTTGTAACGCTATGAAGCATTTTTTTGTTTTGCCTTTCCATGCCATCTTTCCTGACCCTCGCTTTGTGTTTTGTTTATGCTGTTAGCTGCCTGGCCTGATCTCTTCACCTGTGACCTGACTACTGCTTTTGATTGCCCTTAAACTAACTGCTTGCTTTGTCTTGGACTGTCTATTTGTGTTGAATCTAATAAAGACGCTGCATTTAAATCCTTAGTGTTGGGCAAAGCGAGGCTTCATGAAAACACTGAAACAGTCGAAGCAAATGTTTTGAAGCTTTGAAACCTTTCAAAACCCGTCTCTACAGTGACAATTTTGTATGTATTGCTCTGGAACAGCTTCAGTAAAGAAACAGTTACGCAATTTGAGGTATTAAACCCCACATTGTAGAGTTGAGATTTCACGTGATTAAGTGAAGCGCTGAGAGTTCCAGACTAGTATGCAGAGATAGTGGGCTTGAATCCAGGTAGATGCATCTATAGATGTTAGATTTTAAATGCTCTGTATTTGTAATGTGTTTTGGTTTAACATTCGTCTCACATCCTAATGAACACTTTGTGAAGTGTTTGCTTTTCAGAGTATTTGTCGGGATTTTAACTCAGGCCATTTGCAGTTACTCTGTGCACACGCACGGTCCACTAGACTACATGAGATTTTTTTTTTCTGACTCTTTCTGTCAAACACAGATTTGCCAGGTCTCAAAGCGCTTCTAAAACAGCCAATGCTTTTGAATCACTTTAGTCACGTGACCTGGGTTTTTCAGATCATGCTTCGTTGCAGTGTTTTCAAACACTTGTGCTTCTGGATCTCAACACTGTGTCAAAATGTCAGTTTCACCGCCTGGAACAGTCTCTTTGCCTGTGACCTGACCAATTTTTTGGCTTGCTCTTAAACTAACTGCATGCTTCTTGAACTGTTTATTGGTGTTATATTTAATAAAGACGCTGCATTTTGATCCTCGATTCTGTTGCCAGAACAGATTGTGTTACAAAAAGGTTCTTTTAGATTTTTTTAAAAGGTTAATCCACACTTAAAAAAAAACTAAATAAACAATAATAATAATAATAAAAAAAGGATGTTAAAAGTTCTTGTGGAACCAATGAAAAAACTGTCAGATTACAGAAAAAAAAAAAAAACACTTTTTACTTATTGATTTTTTTTTTAAATATAAGATGCTATTCAATGCTACTATATATTGTTGAATGAATGAATAAATGAATGAATGGATGGATGAATGAAATAATAAAAATTATAAATAAAAACAAATAAATAAAAATAATTAAAAAATTAAGAAAATAGAAAAATATTAAAATAACCCAAATTAAATGAAACAAAAATTTAAATAAATGAAATAAATACATTTATTTATTTCAAAACAGTAGAAATGTTAAATATATACATAGTAAAAAAATATCTGCAAATTAGCAGTTTTCTGAGATTTATGTTTTTTTTTATTTGTTTATTCATTTTATTTAATTTTATGTCTGCTTTTGATTTGTATTACGGGAGCTTGATCTTTCTTCCAACTTTAAACCTTGAAAAGTTAAAAAAAGTGACTTTTATGAACATGTTTAATAGGTTGAAGTGATATATTGTCTGGGCTGGTGTTGTATATTAGGTTACAGAAATATTATTTCAAACTATTAAGATGTCAATAAAAGTCACTTTGTTAAACTGAGTTGAATTTTCAACATTAAAAGTCGACCTAACAGAGATTAGCATCCCATGATGCAATTCACAACCGGAATTAAATGGAAAACACAAAATACGGAAACTGTTAAATAACAGATATTTTTACAGTGTAGGTCAAAGACTTTCAAGCATTTAAAGAAAACATATCATACATTTCACCATGTTTGCATAAGAGAGCAACTACAACATCATTAAGTGTAACAACAGTTTATATATCCAAAAATCCTGCCATGCATATTCAGAGCGAGTGTTTTAATTAATGATGTGTCATCTTCAGGAGTCTTCATGATGAAGCAGCGTCCGGCTCTCAATGGCTTGCTTGTAGAGATAAGCACAGATTTAATTGATGTCTTTCTCCATTTGAAAAAAAGTAACATCATTTAAAACTGTCTTTATCTCTACGCAGTGATTCTTCTGGGGGTTCGGCGGGTGTTGATGTGACGTCCTGAAGGAGCCTGAGATCATGTCCCAGTGCAGAAGCTGATGGTTAGTGCAAAACACATCATCATATTTATAATAAAGAAAATTACTCTAAAAAGATTTGAAAAGCCTTGTAAATGCTGCAGAAATCACAGGAATTTAAGTACAGTACATTCAGATCTCAGACAGTGTTTGGCATTTCATTTCAGAACATTTTAAAATTAACAAGATTTGATAAATACTGATAAATAAAGTAATATAAAAAAAACTGTTATATGTGTAACAAAAAACGTATAAAGTAAATAAGGCATAGTAATTATCACATTTTAAATATTGTACATATCAGTTTCAGTGTTATACGATCACAGATAATTAATTATCAATAAATAATTTTTAATAAACATTAACACACTCCAAACATAAATGAATGAATGAATGAATGAATGAATTAATTAATTAATGATTTTTTAAATAAGAAATGCCTAATAATGTTAATTATATATTTAAAAAATCTATAATATTGAAATTATTTGATTTGCAGACTTGAAAATATTACAAATATCACATATTTTCATACACTTTTTCAAAACACAATAGACTAATAAATTAAATGCAAGTAATTTGGTATAGATAGACAGACAGACAGACAGACAGAGAGACAGACAGACAGACAGACAGACAGACAGACAGACAGACAGACAGACAGACAGACAGACAGACAGACAGACAGACAGACAGACAGACAGACAGACAGGTGTATAGGCAGACATTGTAGTCCAGTCTTTTTTGATGACAAAAGCGCAAGAGCTGATCAACAAACTGCATCCCCTGATTTCTCATACAAACAAGGAGGACCAGGGTTGGAGTACCCGAAATCAGGTAAAACAAAATAAAAAAAAGCAATCTGAGACAATGCCGCCACGTTGCCTTTTTTCTTATAGTTAGCTAACACTATCTGTTGGGTTTAAAGAAGGTTCCGTCGATATCAAGCTAATATATTAAGCATGGTGACGAACTGACCGGCTTCTCTGTCACAGACAAGCTTGAGTAGGACGTTAATATGCACAGAAATGTACACAGCGTCCTCTGGTGGTTTTACGAGAAATGGCACATATGAAAAAACATGCCCCAGTAACTTATTTGAGATGTTCAAAAACATAAATGGCGCCCTCTAGTATATTCAATAAAAGCAAAAAGTGCACCCTGTTTGCTTGAACTATTTTACGAAAGCCCTTTGTTTTATCGTTATTGTGTGTAGACGGATAAACAAAGGGGTTTTTACAGATTAAGAGATGCGACGAATACAATTTTGGTTGTTCGAGTCTCTTTTCTATCGCTAACAGTTTGTGAACCTAAAAAAACACAAACCGCCCAGCTTCTCTGTCACAGACATGCATGAGTAGGACGTTAATATGCGCAGAAATGTACACAGTGTCTTTTGGTGGATTTATGAGAAATGGTACGCATGAAAAAACGTGCCCCAGTAACCTATTTGAGATTGTCAAAAATGTACACGACACCCTCTAGTGGATTCATGAACAAAAACCACAAGAAGACATAGTCCAGGGTACATATTTATTAATACATTTATTATAAATTCAAATTAAAATGTCACTGAGAGCTAATCATTTTGTATTAAATTATAGGTTATTTATCTATAAGACAAAGTATGCACAACTTTTCTTTTTTTGATGTTCCTGAAGATAAAAGCAGAAAGTGCACCCTGTTTGCTTGAGCTATTTTACGAAAGCTCATTGTTTTATTGTTATTGTGCGTACACAGATAAACAAAGGGCTTTTACAGATTCGAAATAAGCGACTAATACAATTTTGGTTGTTCGAGTTTTTTTTCTGTCACTAACAGTTTGAAAAAAAAAAAAAAACACAAACAGCTTCTCTGTCACAGACATGCTCGAGTAGGACATTATCATGTGCATAAATGTACACAGCGTCTTCTGGTAGATTTATGAGAAATGAAACCTATGAGAAAACATGCCCCAGTAACATGTTTGAGATTGTCAAAAATGTACACAGCGCCCTCTAGAGAATTTGTGAATAAAAACTGCAAGAAGACGTAGTCCAGGGTACATATTTAAGAGCACAATTATTATGAATTTCAATTACAATTTTACTAAGAGCTAATAATTTTGTCTTAAATTGTATAGTTTGTGTTTTTGAGTCCTTATTTATTTTTTGATGTTCATGAAGATACTATTTTACAAAAGCTCATTGTTTTATCATTATTGTGTGTACACAGATAAACAAAGGTTTTTTACAGATTTAAAAGATGTGACTAAAACAATTCTGGCTGTTCGAGTCTTTTCTTTTTGACTAACAGTTTGTAGACTGTTAAAAACAATCACAGACATGCACAAGTAGGACGTTAATATGCGCAGAAATGTACACAGCATCCTCTGGTAGATTTAAGAAAAATGGCACATATGAGGAAACGTTCCCCAGTAACCTATTTGAGATGGCCAAAAATGTACACGCCCCCCTCTAGTGAACAAAAACTGCAAGAAGACATAGTCCAAGGTACATACTTATCGGTTCTCAAACATGTAGCCCTGGGCACATATTTCTATCAAACCTGGGTTGCATAAGCTCCTGAATTGACTTTATTGCATATTTATGTGTCCACAGAGAGTATGTTTGTGTTTCAGACATCTGCACTGAACTCTGATTTTCATCACTGAAATGTTTTCGCAGTGATTTCCGCCTCTGTCAGCTCTCATTCAGGTTGAGCGTCTCTTTTAAACCCTCCACACACAAACTCAATCTGCTTTCCTCGACTCTCCCACTTCAGAAAAAAAAACAAGCAAACAAACCCCTAAGAAAGCAGAACAGACCGTAGTGCTCTCCGGCAGCAGGGATGATCAACTGCTTTAATTCTGTATGGTTAAATCAAAACTTTTCCTCAGCAACGACACCAGCTCAACATTACATTTTAGAGAAAACAAACATGCAAAGTGGAATATCCCTTGTTGTCTTTGATTAATTGCTCCGCGTGTTTCTCCCCAATTAGGCCAGTGTGCAGCGATCAGGCCTGAAATATAAAGCGCTCTAATGAGGGAGAAATGCCAGGCTTTGTGAAGACGCCGGACTGGAAAATTACACCACAGATCCGTAAATGACTCGGCAATTATGGATTGTCTTTGAGTTAGTTCTGACATTTTCCGACTCTGCTTAAATACTTAATTCCTGCACGCACACAAGCATGCGGTTTATCCTCCGATAATCACATAAAACCTGTCAAAAACATACCACAAACACGCCAGTCTGATTTATTAACATTGTGTTTTTACTGGAAGTCCCGTCTGTTCAACAAGGCTTGACATATTATGCAGTAAATATTAAGAAATTAGATTGCAACTCAAAATATATTGTAAAACAAACCGTGTTCCTGTTATTTAAAGTGCTGTTTAACTGAGATTTTTTATACAAAACAGATTTTTTTTTTTTTGTCAGTAGTTTCCAATAACAAATTTAATTTGTCTTTACCATGATGACAATATTTTGTCGTCATATATTCAGCATAAAGTGCAATTTAAAGGCTTAACTAGGTTAATTAGTTATTGGATAACAGTGGATAAAAAATAGTTTCTTAAGGGGGTTAAAAGTATTGACTGTAGCATGTTTTTAATTATATTTTTAAATAAATTAATATTAAAAATTCCAGCCTAAGAAAAAGAAATAAGACTTTGTCCAGAAGAAAACTATAAAAGGGAACACCATCATAATGTTAAATATCACTTTAAAAATGTAAATATCAAATCACAACTCAAGAGCTCACACTTAGCTAATGCTGGATACTAAATGCAGATTTATCATGCTGATATAATAATTTAGCCTATATGGCTCCCGCCTGATCATTTAGCATAGAGGGTCCAGAATCAGGTAGGTCTCGAGAGCTCCCCTTGGTATAGGAAGAAAAGGGAAGATGGAATGGATTTAGGAATTCTTCAAAAACAAAAATAAGTTAGGTGGGAAAAACGGAGACAGTCTTCGCTGCAGCCCACAGCTTGATGACGTAGTTGACCAGTTCCGCTATGTAGTTGACAATCGCCTACACCTCTCTCTACCCTAAACCCAACCATCACAGTAGTATGGGTGCTACCTAAGTGTGCAGTACAACGTCCGTTACATAGTTGACGATCACATACAACTCCCCCTACCCTAAATCCAACCGTCACAGTAGCATGGGCGGTACAAGGTCAGCTACATAGTTGAAGATCGCCTAGACCTCCCCCTACCCTAAATTCAACCATCACAGTAGCATGGGTGGTACAAGGTCCACTACATAGTTGAAATCGTCTACACTTCCCTCTTCCCTAAATTCAACCATCTCAGTAGCATGGGCGGTTCAAGGTCTGCTACATACTTGACGATCAACTACACCTCCCCCTACCCTAATTCCAACCATCACAGTAGCATAGGCACTACCTTAGAGAATGGTACAAGGTCCGCTACATAGTTGACAATCGCCTACACCTCCCCCTACCCTAAACCCAACCATCACAGTTGCATGGATGCTACCTTAGTGGACGATACAAGGTCCACTATGTAGTTAACAATCGCCTACACCTCCCCCTACCCTAAACCTAATTGTCACAGTAGAATGGGCGCTACCTTGATGGGTGGTACAAGGTACGCTACGTAGCTGATGATCGCCTACACCCTACACCGCCCCTACTATAAACCCAACCATCACAGTAGCATGGGCGCTACCTCAGTGGGCAGTACAAAGCCCACTACATAGTTGACGATCGCCTACACCTCCATATACCCTACACCCGTCTGTCACAGTAGAATGGGCGCTACCTTAGTGGGCGGTACAAGGTCCGCTACGTAGTCGATGATCGCCTACACTTCCCCTACCCTAAACACAATCGTCACAGTAGAATGGGCGCTACCTTAGTAGGCGGTACAATGTCCACTATGTAGTTGACAAGTGCACCCTGTTTGGCTGAGTTTATTTTGCAAAAG